TTCGACATAAGCCAAGGAGATGAAGAGCTGAACGAGCTGGACGAGTACCAAATGTGGTATGAAGAAGACCGACCAGAAGTCAAACAGGAATCGGTTGAGAATCCAAGCCCAAGTCCAAGTGCTCAAGAAGAAGACCGACCAGAAGTCAGACAGGAATCGATTGAGAATCCAAGCCCAAGTCCAAGTGTCCAAGAAGCAAGTAAAGATCGAGTACGAACGGTTCGGTTACCAGGATATGAAGACTTGATCGAAGTTGTCTTAGACAGTGGAGCAGACTGCCATGTCTTGCCGTTAAGCTACTATAGCGAAGACCTCGGAGAAGTGGAACTTCCAGCACTGAAGATGGTCATCACGGATGCACAAGGAAATGCAATCAGAACGACCGAAGCAAGAACCAACATAACGTTTGAATTCCAAAGATCCGATGGAAAAAGGACACCGCCGTGTTTGGTCAAGTGACCCAACCGCTGTTCGCAGTGGGGAAGCTGTACAAAGTCGGATGGGGCATCGAGCCCCAGGATGCATACAGTGCTTTCCTGACGAAGCTAGTGAAGCGGAGGAATGGAACGTCGGTATCGTATGTCCCGATAAGGTTTTCAAGAAACTCAACGGTGACAGACCTTAGGATCTACCGAGCAGCAATGGAAAATGGACGAGACGATGTGCCGATCTCAATCAGGAAGCTTACTTTGACGAAGGAACTGAAGGATGACATAGAGAATGGCAAGTACGAAGAAGGTTGGTTTTATCTCACCGACGGACGGCCAGTGAGAATCGACTGGGACGTGAACACGACGTACAGCCTTGGACGAGACGAAGGAAAAGCGTTCAATTACAGAACCACGCTGAGAACAAGATATGAAGAAGAGCAAATAGTCTGGGAAGAAATGGAATTTTATGAGTGTGCCGAGGAGTGGAGAGACAAAGGCACAACGGTCATAGTACCAGAGATCGAGAAAGCAGTGGTCATCACGATCATGGAAAGATTTCCGAGAAGTGTCGAAGATTGCGGAGAGTACAGTAGTCCGTACAAGAGAAAGGAACCAGAGGAAGAGCATGATGTGGAAATGGAACCACAAGAACAGGACGACCTATGGAAAGGAAGATCAGAAAAGGAGTTGCAGCGAGAAATTGAAAAAGGAATTGAAGAATTGGAACAAGCGCCAAGTCCTGGGTTCGCACCAGGCCAGCATATGCAAGAAGAGAACGATTAGAGTGAACGAAAGGAAGTTGAAGAACGCGTGCCAGCGAGGGACGAGCAAGCGTTTTATCTTGAAAATGGAAAATGACCTTTCCTGTCATTTAGGCATCTCTTGTGCTTCGACTCTTTGCAGCATGTTGCATTTTGCACAGTGCATATGTTCTCATTTTCTTGAAGGAAGCACTTGTCTTTTCATGTCAGCTTTCAAGATCCATGACTTCAAGCAACACTTCGGCTTGAGCAGAAGCTCTGAAGAAAGAATTTTCATCAGGCCAGGAACAGGAGCTCGACCCCTAGACGCCATCATGTCCACCCTTCCAGGCGTCCACACAGTGGTCTTCAACCTCCTGCCCCTGCAAGCCCCTCCTTGGGCAAGTTATGGTGATGCACGCAAAGGCAAGGGCAAGGACATCGGTGCCAGATGGACAAATGGCGGCAAAGGCAAGGACCCGGAAGCTGGCAGCGCTGGACTCCATACGACCGCTTCGCAGGTGGTGGCGGTAAGACCAGCAAGGGTGGCTCATGGGAGCGGCGGCCTAACATGCCGCGTTTGCTCATGGGCCTCCACTACAAGAACACGGATGGCAGACCGCTTTGTTTCGCATGGAACCTTCCTGGAGGATGCGCAAAGGGCAAGGATGGAGCCTGCGACCGCGGCCTTCACTTGTGTTCCAAGTGCCTCGGAGCGCACTCTTGCAACGAATGCCCGCAGAAAGGGTCCAACTGACTACCGCTGTCAGTGCAAAGCGAGCCTGCTTCCCCTGCCACGGAGGCCAGACGATTACACACATTTTTTCGGGCTTAAAATCTTCGCTGGCTCTGCCGGCCTGACGGCAGCCCTCAAGAGCATTGGCCTCAGGGGAAGCTTCGGCATTGATTCAGTTTTGTACAAAGTTCGACTAGGACCTAATCAAACTTGATCTTCAGCCCGGCGCTCAGAAGTTACTTTTTCTCCTTTAGAAAGTCAACGCCTATTTTTTCTTTGGCTGTCGCCCCCGAACGGCGGCGCCCCAGCACTCCAGCAATCAAGCCGCCGCAGGAGAAAATGACGAGTTCAACCTCAAGGACCCCAGCGCCGGCGACTCAGACCAGGAAGACAAGATCACGCATCTTCAGGATCTATCCTGCGCAATATGCGTGTACCTCAGCCAAGCCGGAAAACCCTGGTCGGTCGCATGCTACCGTCAGCAACCTCTGGTCGGCCTAAGCATGGCAGGCCCACCAACAGCTGCTTCCAGACCTGCATGTATGGAGGATCCAGGCCGAAGCGAATGACGCTGGCTTTCGCAAACATGCCCGAGCTCTCCTACATCAATTTGCTATGCGATGGTTCCCATGAACATGACACGGGAGGCTGGGGCCGAAGTGCCCTCAACGCATCGAAACGCCTTGGATAGCCCGTACCCCAGAAAACTGTGCAATGCAGTTGCGGCCGCGGTGCATGCAAACTGCATCGCGAGGGGCATCCAGGATGTACCCTCCGATCTCGACATCGCCATGGACGAGGTTGCCGCCCGAGCCATGGCAGGTCGTCTGCAGCCCAGAGACAGCTGCCGGGGCTCATGCCAGAATACCAGGTCAAGATCACAGTCACCTTGCACCTATCAAACATCACTTGGCAGTTCAAAGACAGAACTGAGCATTTCCTCCGAATAGGTGACGCCCTGATTCCCCCGAAATCCCGCAGAAAGAAGTGATTTCTTCAAAGAAAATGGTTATCCAGAGCAGCTGACAGGAGGAACAACTTAAGGCTTCCTTTGACCCGCTCTTTGCAAGTGTGGCCGTCCCAAAAGGATTCTTCTCTTTGAAGTGCTTTTTACGATGACTTTCCAATCTTCTCAGAGCCAGGCCTCGAAACCAACACAGACCAGGCAGCCGAAACTTTCTTCACCCTGCTCGGGTGGGCTTTCGACAAGCACGACAAGCACACCTCCTTCAGCGAAGCTCAGTGCCTTGGGGGTTGTCGTGAACCTCTCACCTCTCAGCAAAGGTATGGTCGAGATTCTGAACACCTGAAGCCCGAGTTTCAGAGCTCATCAGAGACCTTCTTCAGGTCGCCCAAAACCGACATCTCTCCCAAAGCCGTGCCAAACATCTCGCAGGGAGGATGTCTTTGGCAGGTTGCCAGGTTTTCGGAAGACTTGCCAAGTCTTGCCTCCGAGTCTTCCATGCTAGAACTTTGTCCAGGGACGGCAAACTCGATGATGAAGCCCTCGCTGCTGTCAAAGCTTATTGTGGTATTCTTAGAAGAGTCCCAGCGCGACAAGTCTCTGCAGCGAAGAAAGAGTGCTTCTTCCTCTACACTGATGCCTCCCTAGAGGAGGGAGAAACGGCCCCTGTGCAGGATTGGAGGAGTGCTTGTCGATCCTACAGGCTTGCTCTGACAATTCTTTTCGTGGTTCTCCGAGCAGGAAGACATGATGATGTTGGGCTTGACCTTGGGACGAAGTGCATTTTCATTCTTGAGCTCCTTGCAGTTTGCATTGGGTTCTGGTTATGGGGCGACGTCTTCGGTGGGTCTTCTCTTGTTGCTTTTACGGACAATGAAGCAGCCAAAGCCTGTCTCAGTCAAGAGAAGCTCTGCGCATCCGATTGCCAACAAGCTTCTCTTGTCAAGCAGTACTCGAAGTTGAGAGAGCCTTCCTTGGTTTTCGAGAGTCCCCTCTCTTGCTAACATCGCCGACGGACCCTCCAGAAAAGATGGCAGAGAACCTTTGCTTGAGGGAGTGCCCAGGATCGACTTCAACTTCGCCGAATTCCTCGTTTGCTTTGAAAAGGGGGAGTGCTCAGACTTCGGCTCGTTTCAGTAAGGTGCTGAGACCAACTCAGCACAAGGATGCCAAAGCCACAGTCGTGTTTGACCCCACTTGGACAAAAAGAAGAGTGTTTGAATCCTGAATGCTTCACTGAATTCGCAAGATCTCTTTTGAATTTGGTTCTGATTTTTTATTCTTTTGATGACCGATACATTCTCATCTCGATGCCGGTCCATTGACGAGATAAGCGTGCCAGCGAGGGACGAGCAAGCGTTTTGTCTTGAAAATGGAAAATGATCTTTTCTGTCATTTAGGCATCTCTTGTGCTTCGACTCTTTGCAGCATGTTGCATTTTGCACAGTGCATATGTTCTCATTTTCTTGAAGGAAGCACTTGTCTTTTCATGTCAGCTTTCAAGATCCATGACTTCAAGCAACGCTTCGGCTTGAGCAGAAGCTCTGAAGAAAGAATTTTCACCCGCCTCTCCCACCCCCTGTTCTTAAGACATGAATACACCACAGCGTTGCTCTGTTCAGGTGTGCAGTTGTGCTGATCCACGCTTCAGGCAACACTTCGGCTTGAGCAAAGCTGAAAAAGAAACATTTTCACCCGCCTCTCCCTCCCCTTTCTGTGTATGACAGGTTCTCTGCAGATGTCTGCCCGACAGGAATGCAAGCCCGTTGCTGGCCCCTGCCGCGAGTGGACCTCATTTCGATATAGGAGTACCAGATGCTTTTCGTTTGCTCAAGCTTGTCGTGTCTCTTGTTTTTGCTCAAGCTTGTCGTGCCTCTTGTCAGTTTCGAACTCATTGAGAACTCGTCATGGAGCGAACTTTGACACAAGCAGAGTGGACTTGTCCAGCGGAGTGTGTTTCAGGTAGTGTGCCTTTTTGATTTTGGGTGCATTTATTCCAAAATCTGTTGTTTTGTATTGGGTTTGCTTGAACTTGACGTAGCGGCCCGCGCATGTTCAAGCTTGCTGGCAGCATTGAACATTTTTGTTGCCGTAGCAACTTTAGGGCGGCCTTCTTTCGGCCTCCTTTGATGCCTGTGCCAGACGCTGCTGGAAGCTTTTCTTCTGGTTCGCTCGGGCATACTGATCCTTTCAGCGGAGTGGAATCCCAGTTCGCCCACGTGGAGCACAGCCTTCTGGTTCAGTCGCAAGAAGTCCAAGACCTCGTGCTGCACGTGGCTCGGCTGACTGCTCGTGTGGACGCGCTGGAGGCTCAGCAGGCCTTGCTTCTGTCTCGTCTTGCGGACACTGAGCAAGACGTGGAGCTTGCTTCTACGAGACTTGCTGTGCTCAACCACTTTCTGCATTCCCTCGCGGCGCGTGTTCACGCTCTCCTCCAAGGAGTTCTTCGGGCTCTGCCTCGGGGATTCTGAGATGGCAGCTTCCAGCTCTTCACAGTCGACTGGGGGGGGACAGGACGCTGCTTCGAGCTGGTCTGATCTTCCCAAGAAGGTTAGGTTTGCTTTTTCAGCTGCTGGCGATCCTCCTCCGGACCATGTTCTGGCTTCTCTATTTTCCACTGCTGATGATCTTAACCTTTTGATCGAAACGTGGGGCTTTACGATGGGCTCTCCTGAGTGGCTGTTGGTCCATGATATTCTCTCGAAGTATCAACAAGATGCAAACGCTGGTGCTGCAAGGGCGTGGAAACGCAGGGCACTGGCTGGGGTGGCTTTTCATGGGACTTTGGAGAAGCCATGCAGCGAGAAGTTGCCTTCTTTGGCTCCTACGAAGGAATGGCTGTTGGAGAAGTCTGGGGCAAAGCGACGACTGTTGCGATGGCCTAATCGTAGGTCCAAAAAGCTGGCCTTAGCGACTACCGATTTAACGAGAGCGAAAGCTGAAGCAGATGAGCTCACTCGGTGGCGAATGCGACTGGTCAAGGTGCTCAAGGATTGTCGTATGCCGGTTTGCAATCAGGCCCTTTTTGCTGCAGATCCGGACAGGGTTTTGCAATCTACTGCTGGTTGTGTTCGGGCTTCCACTCTGCGTTCGAGGATTACGGAGTGGTGCAAGTTTTCGCTCTGGTGCCTGGCACTTCATGACGAGCATTTCCCTGCACACATGGGGGTTCTCGTTGATTACATTGAAGAGCTACGCGATGAGCCTTGCAGCAGAACCAGGCTACGTTCAGTGCTCTCAGCGGTTGCCTTCATCGAGAAGGCAGGTGGCATCGACAAGGCTGATCATTTTTCCAATCATCACTTGGTCTTGAATCTCGTCAATGTCAGGACTGCTGAACTTGAGGTTGATGCTCCAGCGGTTCGGAGAGCAGTTCCTTGCCCACTCCTGCTCGTGATTGCGTGGGAGCTGGCGGTGTGCGATGAAGAATTTCCAAAGTACATGCGGGCATTTGCGTGGACTAGACTTTTCAAGTTTTGGTCTTCGAGCAGGAGCGGCGACTTGGAAGGAGCTTCTTTCGATGACATGATCATGACAGCGGAAGGTCTTCGTGGTTTCTTCGATAGGACCAAAACTAGCGGTGCAGGCAAGAAGAATCGTTTTCTGCCTTTCTTCATCGCTGCGGACGCATGGCTGGCACGCAAGAATTGGCTCGCTGTGGGTTTTGCGATTTGGAAGGGTCCTGAGTTCGGTTTCGAAAGGGACTACATGATTCCCAGGCCCACGAGACATTTTAATGCATGCAAAGCGGTCATGGCCAGCTACAGTGATGTGTGCTCGCTCGCCAAGCGTCTTCTCAGACTGTTGCGGAAGCCTGTGCTGCGATCTGATGACTGGGTGTCTTCGGAGGAGTTCTTGATCTCTTCTGATTCGCTTCTTCGGGTCTTTTCTGAACACTCTGAGAGGGCTTCTATGGCTACATTGGCGACTTGGGCTGGAGTTGATCGTGAGCGCAAGGAGTATCTTGGACGTTGGAAGATCGTTGAGTCTTCCGATGTCTATGTGAGGTCTGCTTGGTTTGTTGTTACGACTTTGCAGCGGTTTCTTGTGCGGTCTTGTACAAGCATGAAAGAGTTACTGAGCTTGGGCATTGGTGAGATACAGGAGAGGTTGAAGTCATTCGGCTTGGAGGATGCACTTGCACTGGCTGGGGCAGAGCAACTACAGATGCCACGTGAGTGGGCATTATGGAGGGGCCGCGCCTTTCTCGGTCAGCAACCCATCGACTTGCAACGCCTTTCGACTCCTGAGGTCTTACAGGAACGAGGCCCCGAGCGTGAGTCCCGCTTTTTCATTTCAGTGCTAGGGAAACGGAAGCTTCGCAGGTTGCACCGATCCGGGGCATGTTGCACTAGGCCCGAACGTGTAGCCTGTTGTGAGTTTTATGACGTGCTTGAGGGTGTGCCGTATGATGTGGAATGCAAGCATTGTTTTCGACCGGAGCGTCGGGAACAGGAGGCTCTTCAGGAAGAGGAGTCTGATGCTGATGAGGATAGCTCCTCTAGTTCTTCTTCCGAGAAAGAATCTAGCTCGGAGGGGAGCTGAGCATGATGTGTGCGAACACTTCAGCGTGCTGCAGAGAAATTTCAATACGGCTTCGTGCCTTCTTCATGTGGATCGTTTCATTCCTGGGCTTGTGATCTGCAGTTGGTTCATGCTGGAACGTGACGTGTCAGGGCATGAGCATGTCCTGTACGTTCTGAACGGTTCCCGCGGCTCCCGGTCGCGCCAGAGTTCTGGTGCAGGGATTGGGCGAGATGGGCCAGTTGGGTCTGTCTCAGAACCTTTTGTTCAAGGCTTTGATAGTTCAAGCATGGGAGCTTTGACAGCGGATCAGAAGAGGCATCTTGCAACCTTGAGCACCGATCTGCGTTTCCAGCTGGCCCAGGCTGAGGTCACGCCTGTTAATCAGGCACGTTTGGGTGAGCTTGGCATCCGAACTTTGGTTCTATTTGCAGGTCTGGATGAATCTCGCGAGCGAGTCCGCGCGGCGCTCGCAAGTGAGCTCCCTCTTGACGTGCAAGCTTCTCTGGCCAACCGTCTCGAAATGGCACGTCTGATTTCAGCCTGGGAGGCCTCGAAATTGCATCTCGAGGTGAATGAGAAGAACAGAGCCGAGTCACGTCTTGGAACTCAAAATCGATTGGTTCAGCCGAGTGAACAACATTCCATGCGCGTGGCGGTGGAGGCTGTCCTGGGTTCTTTGAAAGACAAGGAAGTTCCTTCGCGATCGTTCTTGGCGACCAAGCTTGAACAGATCGAGGCCAATCAACCGGCGGTGGAGTGTCTCACTGAGGTGGCCTCGTTGGAGGATTCCGAGCTTGAAATGTATTCAGCGGTGATCGACCCTGCTACAAACGTCTTGAAGATCAAAACTGGCAAGACGTTGACTTCAACCCCGCAGTCCCCCGAGGAGTTGCGTCTTCGTCACCGCAGGATCGGTCTCGCCTGGGACATGCTCGCGACTAAACATTCCAATCGCAATTGGCTTTCAAAGAACATGACTGACACTTTCAGGCGCTTCAGCGATTATGTTCTGGGCCAGCAGGTCGCCGGCCTTATGGCAGGTGATGGTCGACGCCCTACTTGGAACTTGGTTTTGCAGTTTGAGCATGAAGCCCGCAAGGCCGCCTACAAGTGGTTGCGGGACGGCGAAGTCACGGACCTGGAGGCGGCTTTCAAGAGGGCTACTACGGATACGGAAGTCTTGCAGCGTTACTTGGTGATTCCCTTCTCCTTGAATATCACGGCTGCCTCGGTTGTGCAAGTGGACGTTCCTCCTCCTTCGGCTGCTGGTTCGCCTCCTCGTGCACGGGGGCGAGGCCGAGGGCGTGGCCGTAGTGGGGTCAGGACTCAGCCTAAGGATTCACAGCAGACCAAGGGCAAAGCTCTTCGCACTCCGGATGGCCAGCCTCTTTGCTGGCGGTACAATCGCCAGGGTGGGTGCAATGATGCTAATTGTCGCTTTGTCCATGCCTGCCAGAGGTGCTTTGGAAAACACGGGTATTATCAATGCAGTCAGGTCAAGCGCGATACCGTTTCCCGCTGACTTTCGGCCGACACTTCGGCCAACGCACGAGGGCGTGCTGATCTCAGTGTGCTCTACCTCTTTGCTGGTGAACCACGCAAAGGGGATATTCGCAGCTGGTTGGAAAAAGAATCGTCCGGCCGCAGTTTCCATTTAGTGGAAATTGATGTTGCTCGCAATACGTCACACAATGTCTTGCACGACGAGTTCTGGGAGGACATTCTTGAACAGGTCCGCTCCGAACAGTTTGACTTGATTCTTTTGAGCCCGCCCTGCAACACCTACAGCAGGGCTTCTTTTTCGAATTCACCAGGGTCCGTACCTCTGCGCAATGCAGACTGGCCGGAAGGCTTTCCGTGGCTCACTGGCCGCCTGAAGGACAAGGCTCAGGCGGGAACGGAGTTGCTGCGGCGCGCCCTCGACTTGGCTGCCGTGGCTTCAGAAGTTGGGGTTCCTTGGTTGCTTGAGCATCCAGAATTTCTCGGTACCACGCCCCGAGGCACGCCTGCCTCGGTCTGGACTTGGGCTTATTCGCGAAAGTTCTTCGAACAGAATGCTGTCGCGACTGTCGTTTTTCATCAATGCGCCTTTGGGGCCCCTTATGCCAAGCCTACAAGGCTTGCAGGCACCTGGCCGAACCTGGGCACCCTGGGTTTTCGAGGGTGGCCTCAATTAGATCGCAATGGTTGCTACCGGGGCCCTTTGCCCAAATCTTGCGGTCATGATCACCCCCCTTTGCTTGGCTTTCTTGAGGACGGCACTTTTGCGACTGCACCTACAGCTGCTTATCCTTCCGGCCTGTGCCGGGCTCTGGCGTTGCTGGCTTGGCAAGTGGTTGATCCTTCCAGGTCCTCGGTGGGGGGGTCTTCTCTTCGGTCCCTGGACTGGCGCTTTCTTGTCTGATGTTGAAAAAGCAGCTGCTTCACTGTTGATTCGGAGAGATCGTACAACTCTTCGAGCTCCTTCCGGGAGATCCCCCGGCGAGGGGCGAGCCTGGCCCTGACTCGAAGTCCTTCACGGTGGGGGCTTTTTCAAGAGGAGGGGGTCTGGCTGGCATTCGCTCCAACACTGACAAATTTCCGGAGTTCACCAAGATGCTTTGTCGTTTCATCGATGCACTGCAGCCGGGCTTCGAATACACTGCAGCGGCCATCTTTCGCAATCTTCGGACGGCTCCACACAAGGACACCGGCAACTTGGAGGGCTCTTATAATCTTGTGATTGGCCTTTCGTGTTTTTCTGGTGGCGAGGTGTGGGTTGCTTCGGGGTCGGGTTCGGTTGCTTGTCCTTTCGAGGGTTTTTCTGTGACGGGGGATCTGCTTGAAGTTGCCTCCTCTTTCTCGATTTTCAACCCCAGAGATCTGCACTGCACAGCGAAGTGGAAGGGGACGAGGGTCGTCCTTGTGGCATACACGCCATTTCTTGGCGAGGCACTGACAGAGGATCACCGTCGGCGCTTGGCTGCTTTGGGGTTTACGCTTCCGGGATTTGTTGGGACTGACAATGCACCGCTACGAAACTTGGGCACGAACGATGATGCTGTGGGTACCGCTGAGTGGTGGCGGTCTTTGCCGGGCGAAGAAGCTGAACACCTTGAGGTGCAAGGAGGCGACGTGGGGGATGACACTTGTGACGACCCTACGTCTGATGAGGACGAAGATGGTGTGAGAAAGCCACTCTATGGGCATGGCTGTCTGGGTCAGGGGCCTCCACTGCGGTCTCGACTTTCGGGCTGAGTGCGTTGGTTCTCAGATGGACACGGACTGGCTTCACCAGGGCGCTGGCCTCCCCCGAAGAGGCCCACTCCTGCGTCACATGGCTGTCTTTCGCTTCACAAAGAAATCATGGACGGTCTCCTGGCTTTACTGTCGCGTTCGCTGGACATTAAGAAGGTCGTCTGAGCTTTGGCCACGGGGAGGATGACATCTTCCCCCTTTGCATCGGGACTGATCGATTCTGGGAGGACGCTGGTTTTTGATAAGCTTCGGCAGGCAGGGGTCACCGCGCAGATCTCTGTGGTTCCTGACCGTCAGCCATTTTTCCTTGGTGCCATTGGCGAACTGCTGCGACTCGCTGGCGACCCAGACTGGAGGCGGTATACCGAGGCGACGTGGTCTTTCGCTGCAGGGGTTCCTCTTGGGGTCGGAGTCCGGCTTCCCCGGACTCCGGCTCTGTTTGAACGCAAGCATAAACATCGTGCTTTTCCGGGGGTCGATGAGCCGCTGCCCGACTTGCCGAGGGAGAATTACCCCTCTGCGCAGGAGCATGCTGAACGGGTTGATTTTCAGTTTCAGAAGGAGATCTCTTGTGGTGCAATGGTCGAGATGGACTTGGCCGAGGCGCAGGAAGAATTCGACGAGGCCCTGAGTATTGCTTCGCTTGGTGCGCTTCTCAAGCCGGATGATTCTGTTCGAGTCTTGCACGACGGAACGCATGGTGTGCACTTAAACGACTCGATCAAAGTACGGGATGCACAATCGTATCCTACTGGGGGCGATCTCTCGGTGGCACTTGAAGAACTGCCGGCCGCATACTTTTCTCTTTCAGGAGATATCTCTCGTGCACATCGTTTAGTAAAGGTGAGAAGGGCCGATTGGGCCAGGCAGGCCTGTCGGGCATCACGTCATGACAAAGTTTACCTCAACGCTGTTGGAACCTTTGGCGTCTCATCTGCGAGCTACTGGTGGTATCGCTTGTTTTCTGGGTTCGGACGTTTGCTGTACTACTGCCATGGGGTTGATGAAACGACGCTCCTATCTTACGTGGACGACTTACTGTGGATTACCCAGTCTTCGGATGGCTTGGCGCGCATCCTGGCCCCTGGCATCGATCCTTCTACTTGAGATTCTCGGCGTGCCTTGGGCTTGGCATAAGTTCAAAGGGGGAACGGAGCATTGCTGGATTGGATTTTCGATCTTTGCGCACAAGAGACTTCTGGGCTTTTCTCAGGCCCGGTGTGACTGGGCAGTGAATTGGATACAACGTGTCAGGGCTGACGGCTTCGTTAAGATTGCGGACTTGGAGGCGGTCATAGGACGCCTTTCGTTTGGCTTCACTGTTTTACCACTATTGCGCCCTTTTCTGGGGCCGCTCTATGCGTGGGTGAGTGCTGTGAGGCATTGCCATACTTTGCGGCTCCCGAAAGCTGTAGCTATGATTTTGGCGTTCATCGAGAAGGTGCTTCTTCAAGGGTTCCGTACAATCACTGTGCCTCGGGCCAAATCTGTCCCTCAGGAACTCTTTCGCACTGATGCAAAGGCAGAGGGCTCGGAGATGTGGTTGGGAGGTTGGGCCTGCAGTGATGCTTCAACGCCTTGGGGGTGCAGGTGGTTTGCTGAGAAAGTCCAGCATACTGACGCTCCTTGGTTTTATCAGGCTGGCCAGTCATACCGCTCCATCGCTGCACTAGAGCTTTTGTCGACGTTGGTTGCTGTCCACTTGTTTGCACCTTTGCAACCGACGAGCGCGACTTTTACCTGTTCCGCCGCGACAGACAATCGCGGCAACAGTTTCTTGACATCACGGTGGCTCACTACTTCCTTTCCTTTATGCGTGGTGCTCATGGATTTGGCGGCAGTTCTTCAGTCCAAGTCGCTCATGCTGGATTTGCACTGGGCCCCTAGATTTCAGAACACTTTGGCAGACTCTCTTACGAATCAAGACTTTAAAGACTTCGACCCGTCCAAAAGGGTTCGCTTCGATGTATCTCAATACCGTGGTTTGGTGCTGCGTGAACTTCTAGAGTCTGGCGCCGAACTTTACACCGAGCTTGCATCTTGGAAGAAGCGAAAGGGTGGCATTTTGCCACAGAAGAAATCGAAGGCAGAGAAGCTGGCTGCAACCGACCCGTGGAGATGATGTGCGTTGCTGCTCGTCACTCTTGCGAAAGGGGGGGCGTGTTCAGGTTGCGAGTTGCAACTTGTTTGTATGTGGCGGTATGTCACGTACAGCTGCTCCCTTCTCACACAACTGCACGTTTTGTGATTCGCAGCCAAAGTGGTCAGTGCGTTTGCAGCTTCTTGACACGTTCTGCATTGACAGGCATGTTCATGTCACATTCTCTCGGGGGCTGTTCTCGAATTGTTCTAGTCCTCTTGAGTTTGCGTTGTCTTCATTCTTGGTGGTGCATTAAGCAAAACCGCCACCCTATTTCATGTAAAAACTCATTGCCTTGAGTTTTTCCCTTTGGGCTTCACTTTCCAGAAACGCGCAGAGTGGACTTGTCCAGCGGAGTGTGTTTCAGGTAGTGTGCCTTTTTGATTTTGGGTGCATTTATTCCAAAATCTGTTGTTTTGTATTGGGTTTGCTTGAACTTGACGTAGCGGCCCGCGCATGTTCAAGCTTGCTGGCAGCATTGAACATTTTTGTTGCCCACCCACCCATCCCTGGGGCGTGTTCAGGTTGCGAGCTGCAACTTGTTTGTGTGTGGCGGTATGTCACGTACAGCTGCTCCCTTCTCACACAACTGCACGTTTTGTGATTCGCAGCAAAAGTGGTCAGTGCGTTTGCAGCTTCTTGACACGTTCTGCATTGACAGGCATGTTCATGTCACATTCTCTCGGGGGCTGTTCTCGAATTGTTCTAGTCCTCTTGAGTTTGCGTTGTCTTCATTCTTGGTGGTGCATTAAGCAAAACCGCCACCCTATTTCATGTAAAAACTCATTGCCTTGAGTTTTTCCCTTTGGGCTTCACTTTCCAGAAACACGCTCAGCTTAACGAGTTTCGTCAGTGGCTACGTACCTTGAACATGAATTCCCTGATGAAGGTGGCTGAGGTTTTGGAGGACGTTCTGTTCTTGGAGAGCGAGAGGATCATCGGAGAGAGGAGGCAGCACTGCGTCTGCATCAGTGGCAGTTTGTGGACCCTGAACATGAACCTGAGCGACCAAGCGACAGTGCTGCGTCAAGCTCTCAGCATCAACCAGAAGCCTCTTGACGTGAGCGACTCTGACTCACCTTTGTCCTGTTCCAGGCCGACTCACTTAGGCCGAACCTGTGAGCGCAGTAGTGGCCGGGGGAGTGCTCAGACTTCGGCTCGTTTCAGTAAGGTGCTGAGACCAACTCAGCCACAAGGATGCCAAAGCCACAGTCGTGTTTGACCCCACTTGGACAAAAAGAAGAGTGTCTGAATCCTGAATGCTTCACTGAATACGCAAGATCTCTTTTGAATTTGGTTCTGATTTTTTATTCTTCTGATGACCGATGCATTCTCATCTCGATGCCGGTCCATTGACGAGATAAAACAAAACTTCCGAAAGCAGTGGATGAGAGAATGAAGATTGGAGGAATCGAGCTTACACCAGCGAGTACGATAAAGCAGTTGAGAAATGCTTGCGAGTTCCTCAAGATAGGAAAGACAGGAAGTAAAGCTCAAATTTGGCAGAGACTGAAGGAAGCTGTAGCGTCAAACAAGATGAAAGAGCTAGTCGAAATCTCGAAAGGACTCGAGGTTGAGTTCTCAAGAGAGCCAGATGGAGAGAAAAGACCGGAAGCGCCGAGCGAAGAAGAAAGAAAAAGACACGAGCTGACACACCTGCCAAAGGCAGACTGGTGTGAAAGTTGTTCGGCAACAAGAAGTAGAGAAGATGATTTTAAGATAACAGAGAAGAAGTATGAAGCGTCGTTGGTAAGCATGGATTTCAAGTTCACCGGAACGAGGAACGAAGAAGATGCAAAAGACGTGAAAGATGCATTGTGCATAAGTTTGGTCATGGTGGACCAAGAGACAAAGTTTGTCCATGCAAGTCCAGTCCAGAGCAAGGAAGTGACAAGCTATCTGGTGGAAGAAGTTTGCAGAGTGCTGATGCTAATGCAGCCGAAAGTGATCCTGAGAACGGACACCGAACCAGCGATGATTGCTTTGAGAAAGAAGGTGCAGACGATAAGGAAAATGCAGAAGCTTGAGACAGAGATTCAAGATGTTGCACCAGACACACACACCAAGGAGCGCAAGTTGAAAGATGGGTACAAACAGTGAGAAACCTATCGAAGACTTTGGTGTATGGAGTTGAGAAAGAAGCGAAGGTAAAGATCACGAACGAAAGTACACTGTATCCATGGGCACCGAGACACGCAGCATTCCTGTTGAACAGGTTTGTTGTACAACAGGGGAAAACCCCGTTCGAGTTGGTATTTGACCGTGAGTACACAGGAACTTTGGTACCATGGAGTAGTGTGGTTGTGGCGAAACCACTGCCGAAGACAAAGGAGAAAGGTGAAGCATGGAAGAAGGGAATCTTCGTTGGAAAAGATATGGTTTCGAACATGAATCTGGTGAGCACCAGAAGTGGAATCATCAAAAGTCGGACAATGAGACAATGTTCGCCAACGTTCGAAGTGGAGACATTGGCAAATGCATGCGGAACGCCGTGGAACTATAGCCAAGAGCAGTTGACAGGACGGTCGAAGCAGCCGAAGAGGCTACCGCCATCGAGTGGAATCGAAGTGGCGCCGATCGAAGGACCGCCAGTACAAGTCCCGAGAACTCCAGCAGTTGGTCTGGAGACACCGCAATATAGCCCGACAGCATCGGAAAGACCAAGTGATGCAATGGCGTCTGATCCACCGACAAGTGATGATGATGACAATGATGAAGATCCCGGCGAAGGCCAAAGAAGTTCTGAAGCAAGCAGCAGGAAAGGAGCAGCGGCAAGGAAAAGAGATGAAGCAAGTATGACCTCGGGTGAAGCCGAGGAAGAAGAGCCGGAAGGCACAAGCAAAAGAGAGCTCGAAGGAGCAGCCGCGGAAGAACCTGAAGCAACAAGGCCGAGAGTCGACGAAGGAAGCGGACAAGTTGAAGAACGACCTGAGAAGATACAAAGAGGAGAACCCTCAGGAACGGTGAGAAGAATAATGGCCGCAAGAAGTGTGCAAGAAGTTGCGTCGTTCCTCAGGAAGAATTTGCCGAAGTACCACGATGACGAAGAGGTAGAGTTGGAGGAGTTTGAAGGACTCGAAGTCGAGTTTGAAGAACCTGAAGAGGAAAGAAGCTCAGAGCTCGGAGAAGATGAAGAGTTCGAGGAAAGCATGCCAAAGTGGTCAAACAAGTTCGAAGATGGACCTCCGAAGTTGGACGAAGACGAGCTGACGAAGGTCGACGTTGTGTCAAGAGAGCACGAGATAAGCCGACTCACGGAGATGAAAGTCTTGAAGGAGCTGCCTGAAGGCACGAGTGTGAGCAACTACAAGTACCTCTCAACCAAAGTTGTCTACGATTGGAGGCATCGAGACAATGAATGGCAACGGCGTGGCCGGTTAGTTGCCCGGGTCATGTGTTTACTCATATCTGTTTGCTGTTTGTGAAAGATCACCGTACTTTGTTGCCTTTGGTTCAAGCCACACACCAAATCGTTGCAGCTTACAATGCATCGCTTGCTAGCTTTGTTTTTGAAAATTAGCTCCTCAGGCAACAGAGAGCAAGACATCTGATGCAACTTAGCTATCTTTGCAGCGCACTGCTAGGTAATTTTGTTCCGCAATAGGCGGCGTGCAAGCGTTCCTGTGTGGACGCGGATGTCGTCCGGCTTCGGCTGGCTTCCTGTCGGGGATCACATCAGTGATCTTGAGAACTTGGCCTTGCGTAAATTACTTTGGACTTCAGTTTGGGATTTTTCGGATAAAGCTTCACGGGTCCAGGCTCAGCAATCGTGCTTTGACATTCACCTGGGTTCCCGAGCTCTTTACGGGCTGCACTCTGTTCTAGTTGATCGTGCAGATCAACTGTGGGCACTCCGCGCCACTCCCCGAAGTCATCCCTGACTTTCCTTGGATTTTGAGCATGTCCATTGACCCAGGACCGCATGCTGCAGCCTCGGCAGTTGACCTTAGTGAAGCACACGCTGGTCAGCTTGCAGATCAAAACACGTTAGCTTTTTCGCCAGTCAGGGTCAAGCGTTATAGGAATAACCCTTTGGGCCCAGGGCGAGCCTCAGCTGGTGATTTGATTGATGCTGCTTCAAATATTGACCAAGCCGTTGAGGAGAGGCTGCTAGGTGAACGCTCCCCTTCACCTCCCTTACCGTTATACTCGCAGTCTTTTGACATGTCTGCAACGCCCAAATCTTCAGCTGCTTCTGGCTCTTGGTCGGTTGTTGCTTCAGTGCATCCTTTTGCGACCCTGGAACGCCCCACATCCAAATCGCAACCTTTGCCGGCACCTTATCGGACGGTTTGCCCTAGGACTAGGCCCTCTGTATAGCGCAGCGCCTTTGCCAGCCCCTACTAGGTTTAATATACATCGGGCACGCTTGCCGTTAGAGGCACCTTTGCCTCCACCTAGCTATCAGCCTGCCCGTGCATACTCCGTCTACCCATCAGAAGCTCGAGGCCTGCAGGTTTCTGCCCCAGTTCAGGAGGGGGAAAGGTCTGCCTCAGAAGCCGAATTTTCTCGGCTCTCTTCTTTTGTCCGCCCCTCTCCAAAGGGACCTGCAGCATTAAAGCCGAGTGACCACACCCCCGCACTCTGCCCTGATGCCGCTGCGATTGCCGCCAATTTGGGGGGTGTTGTTCTTCAGAGCACTCTGCACTCCGAGGCTTGGGATGCCATATTATTGCTCTGGCGTTCATAGGTAGATATCATTGGCCCTTACAGTTCTGTGCTGCAGCAGCTCGAGGGATCGCCCAATGGTCCTGCTTTGACATTGAAGCTCTTGCAGCTCAACGCAGACACAACCGCTTTGCGTTATGTCAAAGCGTGTTTGGCATACTTTGAATTTCTCGTTGACCTCGGACATTCCTTGGACAATCTCTCCCAACTCGCCGCAGTCGAGGCAGTGTACGCTCTCCATTGCAGCCGTTCCCAGGATGATGACCTTTCTCTAGACCGGGAACAGATTGCTTTGGTTTTTCCACTGAATACCTTGAAGGCGCTGCGTTGGTTGGTGAAAACCGTGACCCTTCACTTCCCAGACCTTTACTCAGGCCTGTTCAGAGCTTTGTCTGCCCAGCCATCTTCAGATCGTTCTGAAGCCATGCCACTTCCTTTGGATTTTGTCGCTTTTCTTGAATCGGTTGTGCTCGACCTATTCTCTGCTCCTGAACTTGCTCTTTTTGCCGGCTCTGCATTAGTTTGTATATGGGCTTCGCTGCGCTTTGGGGATGCATCCCATGTATCGTGGTCAGCTCTGTTGTTCGACCCCCAAGCATTAGTCATTCGTGGCCTTGCTTATCGTACAAAAACCTCTCGGCGAGGCATGGCTTTTGCTTTCTATGCAGAGGGCATATACGGCCCTTGGGGCATTCGCTGGCTCCAGCTTTTGGATTCGCTGTGGGGGTCTTTGGAACAACTCTCCCCCAATGTGGTTCCTGACTCCCTCTTTTTCTGCTCGTCGCTCTTGGATGATGCTTGCGACTTTGCCTTTTGCTCTGCGTCGTATGCATCGGCCTTGCGTAGCCTGCGTTCAGCCTTGAACTTGTGGGGCCGGCTAGGATATGATGCATCACGTAACTTCACTTTGCATTCATGCAAGGCGACAGTCTTGTCCTGGTGTTCGCAACTTGGCCTTGGCGATATGGCACGCCGTGAGCAGGCATCATCGCACCACCTCGGTCACTCTTTACGGTCGAGATGACACGCGTGCTGCCCTGGCCCTTCAGGCTTCGATCCTTGGCAAGATTCGCACTGGCGCTTTTCGCCCCAGCATTTCCCAACATCGTGGAGCTCAGTCACCGATATCAGAGCCGCAGCTTTTGGTTAGGGAAGGTCTTGCGACTTCGGGTTTGGATGTCCCTTTGCGTTTTCGGGGGTTTGTCTCTGAGCACAACGGTGCAAATCCTTTGCCAGCGGCGGCTCTTCCTTTGGTACCTAGCCAGCCAATTGCAGCGTTTGGAGGCACCGCATCTCAGGCCGCATCCGCGTCTTTGGAGACGCCGCCAGCTCTAGGCCCTAGCATTTTCATGGCCTCGGCTAAGACCGTACATAGAGCGGTCGACTGCGATGTCGCTTTGTCGCAGGTTTGTTGGCAAGGAAGGGCATATAAGACAGCTTGTGGGGCTGTTGTTCGCGCTGAATGGACAATACTTTTTGAGCTTCAGGAGCGGGACGCTTCTGGGACACGCCGTGCGCTTTGCAAACGGCCCTCCTGTTTTGGCAGTGGCATCTGCCTTTGAACTCGGACCATCTCTTTGCGGTGGGTTTCAACAAAAGGGGTCTCGATTTCGGGTAGAGCTTGCATCACTTTGCTTCTTGTGCTTTGTTTTGTTTGCTTGTTCAGTCGGTGGTTGAATCGGAGCTTCAGTGCTTACTCGCCTCGGCCCAGCTTTTGGCTCTTACCTCCTGGGGGGTAGATCGGGATTGCAGAGCTTTTTCCCTTGGCCTCGCACTCAGAGAGTCTGAACTGCCCGTGAGCGTCGTGTGTAATAACTACACAGCAGTCTCAGTGCTTCGCTTCTGCACTCTGAGCGTGTGCATCAACATTTCTCCTTTTTACCTTCGGAGCTTTTGGCTTTGCTTTAGCCTGCCCAAACTTTGACACTGAGATTGTCTTTTGCTTCGGTGGCTCTGCCCACCCCCGCTTATTGCTGGCGATGGCAAACACTGACATTTTCCTTGGCCTTGCAGAAGCTGATGTGAACAAGGCAGTGTCTTGGCTGGAGGATGCGCGCCACGTGCCGGCGACTAGTGGCTTTTCACCATCACAGTGGCTGTGGCACTGGCTTTCGTCTACGCCAGCCTTTGCGCCTCTGACGGGGGCTGCTGAGAACATGGACACGGTCTTCGGCTTTAGCTCTGGCGATTGGGCGTTTCATTGGGTCGAAGAGATGGAAAAAGCCACCCTGAACCCGGGCGCGGCAGCATCCCAAGCCGCACCTGCGCAGGCTGCTTCGGACAGCAAGTGGCCATGTTTTCCCAATGGCCACCGTTCCCTTGGACTGGCTCCTGCAGATCTTCTCCGAGCACATTCGTGGTTGGAAGAGGCTGCTTCCTTTAATGGTGCCGGTGGCTGGGAGGAAGACGACTGGCTTCGCTATTGGATGGAGCAGGACTCGGCTTTTGAGACTTTGCTTCAGCGTGCCAAGGAGGCCAGCCATGGCAATGGCTTTGGCTTTGGGTGTCGCAAGCCGACCGACCCCAGCCGCCGCCGGCACCGCCTTTGGGCACTGCGCCGCCTTTGGCCACCGGCATGGGGCCGGATGCTTTCCCACTTAGCCAATGCAACGAGACGGTGACCGTCACTCAGATTTACTGCCGCTCCACATGTCAAGACTGCGGTGCTGGCCATTGCGGGGTCGTTCTTACGCGCGAAGATCTGCCTCATCGGCACCGCTGTGGCATTTGCTACAAAGCTTTTAGGAGGGCACAAGGGCAACCCTGAGAGAGCGCTTGTCCCAGCATTTGGCTTTTAGTTGCCCCCCTCCACTTCGGCTTTACCTGTTTTGGCGGGGCGCAGTACATAGGGTGCTTTTGGCTTTCTCTCGCCGCATTTTCCCTCAGTGAGCTTTAAGCTGCTTGGGGGCGATTGGCATCGGAGCTTGCCGGCGGAAATCAGAGCTTGAGTGCACTTTCTGAGCTTCCTTCGCTTTTTGCATACACGTGCTTTTCCTCATACATGCTCTCGTGCCCAGGTCTGGCTGTGGACGCTCCTCACATTTTTTCCAGGCGCACTTCTCAGAGTCATTACATTGTCCTTTCCTTGGTCTAGCTTCATTGGCTTGTGACACTGGCTTTAGGGATTGTTGTGTGCATCAAGTGCTGCCTTTTCTTTTCCTCTTGCAACATGTGCATGGCACGGTGGCATGTCCATCTGCACTGTGCTTGTTTGCGGGTGCTTCACTTTGGCTCGCATAGGTTCCATGGCCGACCCGGGGAGTGACACTGGGAGAGGCCTACTCGTGCAGCCGACCCCCTCAGACAAGCTTTCAGTGCTTTGGGAATCTCTTAGCCTCGATTTCCCTGAAGCCGTTGTGTCACATTCGGAGTTGAACCGCGCCATTCCTAACTTTGGGTTTTTGGCTACCTCCTTCGACCAGTTGGATCAGTGGTTGGAGTCGCACGGTCTTCTGGACTTTGCTGCGGACCTTCGCTGTCTTTGGCACAGGGCACATTCCTTGGCCTGTTCTGAGGGACACATGGCAGTCGTGCCTTTCCCGCCGCACCCCTCTGCTCTGCCTTTGCCGCAGGACCAGTCCTTCAGCACAGCTTCAGATCCTGGTCACCCCGCGTCAGGTGCTGCTTCGTGGAACGAGCCTTTCCCGGCCAAGCTCTCCTCTGACAAAACGGCAGAGCTCCGGGCCGCTTTCTTGCGGAAGTATCCTAGCAAGGTTTTGGACGATTCCACTATGCCTTCGGCTCGTCTCCTTGCTTTGGCTTTCAAACAAGCCTCGTCCCACGAGTGGCGCTTCATCCCTTGGCGTTGGCGCATGTCCGTGCTTGAGCTTGAAGAACAGCAGTTGCAGCGCCCTCGTAAGCTAGCCAGGACTGAGCTGGCAGATCTGATACTGGATGATGTCCCTTCCCGGAACCTCCCGGACACACTGGGCATGTTTGCATTAAGCAAAATTTTGCGTTTGCACAGTGTAGCGATGGCCATGGTCACTGATGTGCACTTGGTGACGCTTAAGAAATACGAGTCTACCTTTCTGCGTTTTGCTTCAGCCCGCTTTGAACAGCAGTGGCCTTCGCCACCCAATGCACTGGAATAGCAGACCGCCGCTTCTGGGAGGCCGTATCCGAGCTCCGTTTGCAAGGTTGGTCTTTGGATGATTGCATCCACGAGAACACGGCCGTCCGTAGCGAGCTGGCATCTCTTTTGGCACCGCGTGTTTTCCTTCCCAAGGCCCTGCGCCGCCCGGAGGGCAAAGGAGCGGGCAGTGGCAAGGGCAATGGCCCTGGTGCTGGTTTTGGCAATGGACGCGGACGCGGCAAAGGCAAGGGAGATGGAAGAGGTCGTGGGAGTGGCCTTGGCACCGGTCGTGGGGGAACCGGTCTGGGCAACCAAGGCAACTCCGGGGGGGCCTCCACAAACCGCCAGGAGTGGGCATCCTCTGCGAAAGTTAACGGGGAGGTCAAGACTCTTTGCATGCGTTGGAGTCAGCGCACAGGCTGTAAAAACCCGTCGTGCCGCTTTGAACACCTTTGTCCCGTGAAGCTTCCCAGTGGCAAGATACCATCCGGCCTGGCAACACACTGACACCCCACATTGAGGGGGACCGGACCCATCTTTCGAGCAGGCAGCTGGGTCCGGTCTGCCTTTGTTCCCTCCTGCTGCCATTTTGCCTTTGTCTTCCCAGAGCTCTTCCACTCCGGTAACCGCTGCTCCGGCAAAGCAGGCTTTTGAGCTTCCCATGCCCGAACTTCCTCACGGGGTGGCCATGGCAGTGTCAGTTTCCGACACACACTCTCCGGGGTCCCTGCCACCCCAGCACATAAATCCTGAAGATGGCATGTCGGCCCCGGACAGCTTTGGCCCAGCGCTAGCTCCTGCGCCGGTCTCTGAATTTGTGGCAGAGTCCATACCAGAGCCGTTTCCGCCTGTTTCTTCGCATGTCACCTCTGTCGTGCAGTCCGTTCGGGATTTCAAGCAACCCTTCTTCCTGGACATTTGCGCAGGGGCGGGCTCGCCACTCAGTTCAGCTTTCCTAAAGAAGGGGGTGCCATGTTTGTCGATAGACATCCTCATCGACACAAACATGGACCTCCTCCAGGATGATTTCTTTGAACATTTGCTGCGCATTTGCACGTCCCGCCAAGTGGCCCTTGCGCACGCTGCCCCTCCATGCAGAGAGTACTCTTGCCTGAAACTCCTTCCTAAAGGCCCGAAAGCGCTTCGGACTCCGGCGTTTCTGAATGGCCTCCCCGACCTGTCGGCATCCCAGGCTCTTAGAGTTCAGGAGAGTCACTTGATCTTTGTGCGCTGCGTTCAGCTCTTGCATGTCAGCTTTTCCTGCGGTGCGCAGGTGTCGGTTGAACAGCCTCCCAACAGCATGGCCTGGATGGAGCCGATTGCAACCAATTTCTTGGCGTCCATCAGTGCGGATCTGGTCCACGTGGCTGCTTGTTCGGTCAGCTTACTGTTCGCGAGCGAATCGTGTTTTATCGCTTGCTTCCAATAATGCCCTGTGAAAAAACGGTATGCCGTTTGTTCGCTGTTTGAAGCCAAAAGTTATTTTGATGCCTTGAATTTCACATGCCCAACACTTACCTGTTGCATGGTCTGCATGTCTCCATGGTCAGCGAATGCAGGGTTGTAGTGACTGTCTGCAGCTTGTTGTGATGTGCCTTGGCGTGCAATATGCCATGCTCTGTGAATGCAACATTACGAGTAATGTTGCAGCTTTATGTGTGTTCCTTGAAGTGCAGCACTGGCTCATTGCACCGTGCGAAAAATTTGTGTTGAACTGGGTTCGAGGCTCTACCAGGTACCGCTTCAACAGGCCCATCCTCCAACCTTGGCCTTAGGCCCTGTGCAAGCTGCCTGCGTGAAGCAGGCAGTGGATGGGAGCTCGCCTCCGCGGGCAAGCGGCGATCAAGTCGCCTGTGCATTTGGGCTCTCTCGGCCCAGTGATTCCTGCCAGGACCCCCTGCGTGTGCTTTTGTTCCGGCTTCTGCTTGGGTGTGGCTTTCCTTCTGTTTGCCATCAGCCTCTGTTAGCCTCCCATGGACTCCACGTGCAGTCGCCGCGCAGCGCAAGAGCCGCTCGTGGAGCAGGACCCTGCCATCCCGGCCTGTCAGCAGGTCTGTCAACAGTGTGGCCGTAACGGTTGTATCAGGTACCGCATCAACCACAACCACCATTGGTGCGCGCACTGCGTGATTGCTTGGTACTTGGCAGTCTACGACAGGTGAATGGCATCTCCTAAGGCCCATGCACTCGCAGAGCCGCCAGCCGCTCATGCCCCGATACCCCCTGGTATCGCCCCTGTGTGTGTGGTTAAGCGCTTCAGAAAAGATCTCCCCGGGCCGTCTCCTGCGGTCAAAAGGGGGGAACAATCCACAGCCAAGGGAGATGAGCCGGCCGACAGTAAGCCTGGCATCCAAACCTCGGAAGCTGTGAGATCTGAGCTTGGTGAGCCTAGCTGCCAGGCTTCTGATGCCCCTGCGAGAATGGGCACTGCCCAATCATCACAGTCTCATGATACGCTACGTGGGAGTGATCCCGTTGATTTGGGGTTTGAGAAACCTGATGGCCAATCCACGGCCTCAGGACCTGGGCTTTGCGCGCCTGTCAATAGTCCAGCAGGGTCTCATGTCAATGTAAGCCCCTCCCTTACAGCACAGTCTGGTGCAACGCTACGTGGGAGTGAAGCCGAAGATTTGGTGCCTGAGAAACCTGATGGCCAAATTTTAAGTGATAATGTGCACATGGGGTCCGTTCCTTCCGTTCAGCATAGGGATGCATTGCGTGCGACCGAAGCTGTTGGGGCTGTTTCGTTTGGGGAAGCCGAGCTCTCTTGCGAGACGAAACATTGTGCACCTGAGCGAGTCGGGGTCCGTCTGGTCGAAGCTGATGACTCGAGCTCTCTTGCCGGACCCGTTGAACGGCCATCCAGGCCCGATAAGCTGAAAGCACCTCAACATGCCCAACCATGCGTGCCCCGTCTTAGCCACGCAGTGACTTCATACCTCGAGCCAGTGGAAGAGCTTGGGTATGCGGCGTTTCATACTGCCGGTGTGAGAGATGCACCACCCTTCCGTCCTGGTGTCTCTGAAGCTTCCTCAAGCATGATGTATGCGAAGGATGGGGCACCCCATGAGGTTGATCCCGAACTTGATGGCCGACGCGTCCCACCTGTGTATGTCGCCAGACAACAGGATCACCTGCGGAAGGAGGTTAGCCCTACCCCTAGTAGCGGATGCTGAAACTGTGAGTGTGCCGTATCCCGAGGTACAGCTGGACTTCAATATGAGTCAGGATGCCCCTGGTAGGCCAGTTCCTGCTCCCCGCAGCCCTCGCACCAATGAAATTGGGGCTGAAGCCCAAATTGCTGCGTCAAATACCGGTAGGGCCAATCCTGAGCCCATAGGCCATTCCCCTTGTGGTCCTGATGCGTCCGCACAGCAGGCTACTCGCCCGCCGCTTGAAGCCCCTGCGGGTGCCAACCGCGCGCTCTCCCCCGCGAGCTCAGTGCAAAGTGTTCGTCAGCCAAAGGTCCAGCTGTGTCGGGGAATTCTGTTCAAGGTGTGCCCACTCCGACCAGGACCAAGGCGGGTTTTCATGGGGCCAGCAGGTGTCCTTGATTTGCCCAGGAAGGTGCCGCCGCCTGGAGAGCTGCGCGTGGTAACCCCCATAAGTTCGCGGCCTGTCTTTACCGGTCCAGGCTCCATTCCCCGGAGGACTGAATGCTTCCCTAAGCGAGCCACAACCTCTCCTTTTGACGGGAAAGCTAAGGCCTCGGTTCTGGAAAGCGTGCGCGGCAAATGTGAAGCCCTGCTTCCTGGTGGTCGGCCACTGCCTCCACGTCCGCCAACCCCTAAGCGGAAGAGCCATTTCGCGAATGCGATAGCGCTTTATCGTTTCGGATTGGCAAATTGTTCTTTTCCTACCTGGGGTAGAAAAAGAAACTCTTTGAAACGTTGTTTTCGTTTTTCATGAGTTGTGTCTGGTCTCACAGCCAGCTAAAGCTCCGCGTAGGTTGGTCTCTTTGCCAGCTAAATGCTCCGCGTAGGCTTTGGCTTTTAAGCTTTCTGTTTTTCACGTACATGTCTGAAAGAGCAAGGTTTGGTACCTGCATCTTCTGGATTTGTACTTTTCTTGCCAGCATGTGTAACAGCTTCACAGTGCTTGTTGCGTGAATTGTGAACATGTGTGGCATGTTTGTCGCTCAAGCTTGGGGCTTGAAAATTTTTCACCTGTGGGCCCACTGTTTTGCGTAACTTTGTGAGACCCCAAACAGGTTTGCTTCTGAACAGGCCTGGCCGACAAAGGGAACTGCCACTAGGGCGCGTGCAAGCCAGCCCGTTGGGCGGTGGATGGAAAGCCGTTCTTTGCGGCATCGTGCTGCATCTGCCCGGCACTTTCTCGTGCTTCATCCACAGTGTGCAAAGGCAGGGTTTGCTCCGAGCTGCCTTTCCTGCTGCTGTGGTTTTTGTCTTGGCGTGCTCTCTTTCCTGGCCTTGCTTCTTTTGCTGTGAAGCATGCCTGTGGTGCTCCGTATCCTCGGCCTCCTGGTCTGTTTGCTCTGCGGGTGCATCCAGGCGGTTAAAGATCCCACCGGCCCTTCCAGCGGTCCGTATACTGATAGCGATGCACCGGACCCTGACGGCATTGAGGCAGAAGTTGCATTGTGGGCTGAGCATCCCTCTGCTCCGACGTCTGATGCGGCACCATTGACATCCTTGGACATCTCCTTGCCATACTTACAGAGTCTGCTTTCTGACATGATACCTTTATCTGCCGCATTGCTCCAGCATGCTACAGTTGCTGAACTGCAGCACTTGTGCCGTGTCTGCCTGCAAGCCGGTCGCCAATCTTGCTTCGCGGCCCCAACTGTGTCCTCCCTCCAGGCCTTTGTGCAGATGCCTCCAGATTCTGTTGTTTGGGCTCCGCCCACGCCGGGTCCTATATGCGGGTCTGCACCGACGACTCCGGTGCCGCAGCTGCCATGCTCTGAGGAAGTGATGACCATTTTGCGTGCTCTAGAAGAGCGCCTGTCAGCCCTGGAAGAGGTGGTTGGCACTGTACAATCAAGCCGTAGTCCACGCCGCAATGTGCTCCGCCGGTTACGAGATCTGGAGAGGTCTTCCTAGCCGTCAGATGCTTTGCGCCGCATCTTCTGGCCCATACTTTGAATTTCGCAGCTTTTTCATGCGAAACCCTACCTTTCCGGAGAGAGCCGAACATTGACCGAGCTGCACTGTTGCTAGTCTTTTGTGCTGAGCTTCTGGGAAGTTTGTGGGAGCAGCTTCCTCTCCTAGTGCTGAGCAATTCGCTTTTTGCCAATTTTTACGATAAGAGGCGTGAGCCTGAAGGTGCTCAAGTGGCTCCGCTTCATCTGACGAGGGCGTCACGCTCACACCGGAGAGCGCAGAGGCCTTTCTGGCCAGACTTGATGCCCGACCCACGTGTTCCTCGGGTCATCCGTTGTTCTCCTTTGGGTCGCCTGAGCCAAATTGGTGGTGCAGTGTGTGCAAAAGGGAGTTCACCACACGGCGCTTGCTTTGGGGGTGCAGAGTCTGCGACTTTGACATTTGCGGAAATTGCTTGGCCAATCAGCGCAGTGACCCCACCATCTCTCCAGCTCCGGGTCAAGATGCCGCTCAAGATGCAACTCCCAGCGGTGCCAAGGCATGGCCCTCGATAAAGCTCTTGCGTGCATCAGGATTTTTGACGGGCAATGACATGTTCCCGAATGACCTTCGTCTCGCCCTGGATGTGAATGGGCGAAACCTGTCGGTTTTGGGGTCGAGCAAGGCACCGGAGCTCAAAGGTGGGTTCCGAAAAGTGTACCACCTGAAGGGAGAGGAGCCCGCTGCAAGCCTGGTGTTAAAGCTCGCTGAGAGTGACGCCGACAATGTCAACGAAGTTCGGAGCGCTGCTGCGTGTCCTGCAGCCTTTGCCCGCATCTTCGACAGCGGCTCTATTTGGGTGTCCCTTGGAGAGGAAGGTTTGTGCCAGGCACATTATGTTGTCGCGGAACGTGCGGTCCCGTTGACCGCTCTGTTGGAGGGCCCGGCTCTGCCTCCCGCAGCATGCACTTCTCTGGCTCTCCAATGTTGTCGTATTGTGCTCCGGGCCACCCCTGCAGGCATCAAGTGCAGGGACCTTGGACAGAAACAGTGGGGCCTTAGGGTCCCACCAGGCTTCAACTTCCAAGATGAGGTCTCCCTGCAACAGGTGCGCAACAGCTTGGCAGGGGAGGCATTCCACCTCATTATCCTCGATGCCAATTGTTGCCTTCCGGTGCCCCAGGCAAGCCTCTTGGGGCCACGAAAAATGGCCTCCTACTGGGCCCTCCTAACCAGGTTAGTGGGTCCCACCGCTAGCGAGCGGCTCCAAATGTTTCTCCGTGCTCATAATTTCAATGCCCGCAGTTGTCTTTCCGCTTTGACGCGTGATCACGTTACGGGGCCTTGTTCGTGAGCCGGCCACAATGCAAATGTGTTTTGCAATATCTGCAACCCATATCCGATGGGCGTCGTGATGTTGCCTTGAAACAAGGCAGAGCCGGACTGGTGATGAGGATGCAGTTCGCAAAGAAAAAAGACATGAGCCTGCGCTCACACATGTTTTGCATGTTACAGATAGCATGAGACGAGCAATGTCTGCTCAGCCAATGGGCTATGAGGGTCTCATGAGGTGGCACATGGTGCCTTTGTATGAGCCAATGGGCTGTCATACAACATGGCCATGGTGCCAGATATGTCCATTGGACTATTGGTGCTCATGCAAGGATGCAGGCTCAAAGCGATGTTCATGAGCGCATGGCTTTCTTCAAGCTCTGACTGCTTGTGACCGTTAGGTAGCCTCCTTGTGAAATCATGCCTTGTAGCGCCATGTGGTGTCAAACAGTGCCATGTCGTCTTAAAGTGGTAGTGCATGCCCTGTATACTGTGTCCGAGGCGACCTTAGCATCCTGAACGACGCCCTCGACCTCCACCTGAAGACCCACTTATGAAGGAACAATATATTTGGAACACCCAAGCATTCCAAATTGGGTGCACCGCGTAAAGCGCAGGCGGCCAACTGTTCCCGTCGAACCAAGCAGAAGACCGATGCTGTGCCATTCCCTTAGTGCACTCAATGCTCGACCCTGCCTGCCTCCATGCCTCCCCAGTGCAGGGACGATGTGCCCTCCGCCAAGAATCGTAAGCTACAACCACGACGTGTTCTTGCCTGACGGTCGCCTCCGCGGCCGCAGAGTGATCTTGCCCGTGTGGCCAATTAAACAGCTAAAAGTTCCTCGGGCACCTTTGCATGAATGGCATCATCGGTCAGAATCCTGGAGAACCGTCCTGGACAGGTGGGTCACCTGCGTTTGTCACTGGACGTAATATTAAGTCAGGGGCTCCACCAGTGTCTTTTGGACCAACACTGGTGATCCAGCTGCGTTGCAATCAGCCCTGAATGAATTCATTTGGGTGCTTCGGCCGGTTGTGCTTCGCCCGGTTGTCCTGTTCTGTGTGTGGAATCTTCCTGTGCTGTTCCGTTACTCCTCCTGCAAGCAATTCCGTACATGTGCAGGAGTGCTGTGCCACCAGCCCTATTGGGCGCCTGTACCTCTGGTACCCATTATTCATGACTTAGGTGGGTGCGCAGACGCGGCGACTGACCTGAGGCCTCCGGGGTCTCCGCACCTTTAGCGGTTGGTACCCCTTCTTTGAGATCAATGCTTTGGGTTAAGTAAGCAGTCCCCTCGCCTGTTGGCGCCACCATGGCTGGGCGTGGTGACACGAAAACGCGTACAAGTGTGGCCACCGCTATGAAGCATGGCTAAGGAGGGGCCCCAGGCTTGTTGACCCCCTCGTGTCCCACCTTTCCTGTCGAGGTGTAAACCTGGCCTAAGGGCCTAGAAGAGCCGTTTGCTCGAGCTCACGCTCCGTGTGGAGCCCAAGCAGAACTGCACCTTCACTCGACCAGCATTGTCGAATGCTTAGGCTGTTGCCCCCATAGTCCTTTGGTTTCCGTCCGCGACGGACGATGGGTCAATGGTCCTGGCTTTTCAACGGAAGTCGTCTGAAAATCCTGCATTATTTGTAACATATTGGATGGCTCCTTACACGTGGATGGGGCCACATGGCTGTCCCAACGAAAAGACCTAGTGAAATGTTTTGCACAACATATGCTGGAGCCCGCGCCTGCCTCCCACACGGCAGCTGCTGTGCTCGTGTCGCGCGCGAACGCAGTCAGTGTGTCTAAACCAACCCATCATTCCCAGCAGTCTTGATGGCTGTGGCGACCGAACGTTGGACATGGTCTTGCAGGCCTCTGTAATAACTCACACAGTGCGGTGCGCTGACAGGGCCCGATAACATCATGTGCACTCTCTGCGGGCCCATGGCCTGCCATTCCCTACATGTTCCAACTTCCTCCACTGGCCCTACTGGCCAGTTGGTCCTGCGCTGCCAAGGTACTCACTGCGGTTAAGTGGGGAGGTTTCTGGTAACTTGTGCGGTGGCTGCTGTTTTCTGTTAACTTGCGCGGTGGCTGTTGTCGATTTGAGTGTGCCCGATAGGAGCGCCTGAGGTTTTAAGCCGTTGATGTCTGGTTGGTGATCGCCGGGTTTCCTAGATGGTCTGGGCGCCCGAACAGCTAGGCCTATAGTGTCTGGATAGCGCTCGCCGGGTCTCCCGACCTGACGCATGGCTTGCTCTCCCTGAGCCTTGTTTTGAGTTGTCCGCAGGGTCTAGTGGACCTGACGCCTGGCGTGCTCTCCCTGAATCTTTGGTATGCGGTTGGCGTTCACCGGGTCCACTTGACCAAACGCCTGGATTACATTTGGCTTGGTCGCCCCTCTAAACCTTTAGTGTATGGTTAGTGTTCGCCGGTCTCCTGACCTGATGCATGGCTGAATCTCCCTGTGCCTTGTTTGAGTTGCCCATGGCTGAATCTCCCTGAGCCTTGTTTGAGTTGCCCGCCGGGTCCCGTTGACCTGACGCCTGACAGGCTCTCCCTGAATCTTGATATGCGGTTGACGTTCGACTGGTCTACTTGACCAAACGCCTGGCGTTCACTCAGCTCGGTCACCCCTCCCCTCCTGCTCTCTTCACAATGGATGCATGGAAGGTCGGGTTTCAAGTGTGCGACCCTGTGGACGTTGGAATGCGCTGTGCCCTGCATGATGCCACAGGGTCGAGATCACTGTGCCACGAGTCCTGGTGTGCCAATGCCTGGAGTGAATTTTTGTGGGTCGTACTCTGCCCCGGAATAGTCGTCTTTGTCATGTCCGTGATAATAACGTTGGTTTGCATGTAAGGGTCCGCCTTGAATCTGGTGCGAGATGTCTCCCGAGAGCCCGTGGGGGGGGGGGGGCTCGGCCCATCGGCTTGAGACTATGCCAACTATATGCCCTGACCCCTTATACGGGTCGGCTCCCTGGAGCGTGTGAAATTGTGCCTGGCGATACAGTTGGCTCGTTCCCCCTTGCGTCAAGTGAGAGGCCCGCCACGCTGGAGTCTTAGTGTGTGTGCCAAGCTGCGTAAGGACCAATGTTTTGAGTTGTTTAACTCACTTTAATCGAGGTGGGTTTTTTTCTGGATTTCCACTTGCCTGCGCAACCTTGGTGTTTGGTCCGTTGCCCGGCCAAGTGCCCCCTGAGTCTCGTGACCCGTGCAATGTAGATTATAATAACCTGAGTGATGCGGATAGGGACGCTGGCAGCATGAGTGTCTCTGGAGCACGCAGTGGCGTCCGGGGTTCATTGACAGGCCCTCGCCTATGAAAGGGCAATCCTGGTCCCAATCTCGAATGAGCATGGTGGTCTCGTCATAAAAGGTGGTGCCTTGTGACCCGCACGTCCCATGATGGGCGGGCAGGGCAACGTCTGCGTTCTTGGTTGCCTGCTGTCACAGCAGTACCTGGCTGCCCTTGGAGTGTGAGCCTCCGAGATAAAGAATGAACATTGAAGGCACCCTGGACTGGTTTCTACCGGTGTCGTGGCACGGAAAGCCTTGATCACGACTTGGACTCTGCCCCTCTCTGCACCAATGCGTGGGGACCTCCCCGATGAATAAAAGTTGTGCCGGGTGGTCGCGCAATTACCCGTTATGACCTTGCGTGGCTAAGGTCTGTGTGCACTGCGTTGGTTCGGTCTTAAGGCCACACCTGTAAGGAGGTTCACCCCCGGGTGCTTGCGAGGCCGTGCTTCTAGCCTGGTGCGCCCGTTCGGTCGAGGCAAGTGCCTTAGAGGCGGAACAGCGTTGACTGCCTCAAAGACTCGTAACTCACCGTTTGGGGTAGCGGATGTCTTGGGTCTGGGCTCCAAGCTGCCTTGCTCTCGACGATGTCCACCATAATCGTTCGGTTAAAAGGGGGCTTTGAGGTGTTTTGTAGTTGGTGATGCGCGTGCCTTCTGCTAGGCGTATGCACTGACACAATGTGCATCGACCTTTCAATAATGATCCTTGATTCGCCCACTGATGAAAAAGAAGGAAGGCTTGGAACTTGCAAGGGTGTGGGCTTTGCTTGTGTCCTCTGTTTCGGACTGTGCTTTTGGGTTCAAACCATTTTGGCACAAGCGATAAGCTTACTGTTCGCGAGCGAATCGTGTTTTATCGCTTGCTTCCAATAATGCCCTGTGAAAAAACGGTATGCCGTTTGTTCGCTGTTTGAAGCCAAAAGTTATTTTGATGCCTTGAATTTCACATGCCCAACACTTACCTGTTGCATGGTCTGCATGTCTCCATGGTCAGCGAATGCAGGGTTGTAGTGACTGTCTGCAGCTTGTTGTGATGTGCCTTGGCGTGCAACATGCCATGCTCTGTGAATGCAACATTACGAGTAATGTTGCAGCTTTATGTGTGTTCCTTGAAGTGCAGCACTGGCTCATTGCACCGTGCGAAAAATTTGTCCCACCCAGCCCACCCTAGGCATACATGTGCAGGGCCCGCTCCTGCAGCCGCAACTCCCTGCATGCGCAGCAAAATTGCAGTTGTTTGCAATGACAACCCGCGTCCTCCGCCCTTGATCAGACTTGAGAGTTTGACGCCGCGGCTCCCGCCCAACCCACCCAAAACTTGCTCAAGGCAGGGCCCGCTGCGGCGGCCGCAACTCCCTGCATGCCATCCTGGCTTCTTGCCATATCAAAGATGTACAGCTTCCTCGCCCTTAAAGGGGGCTTTGAGGTGTTTTGTAGTTGGTGATGCGCGTGCCTTCTGCGGGGGCTTTGAGGTGTTTTGTAGTTGGTGATGCGCGTGCCTTCTGCTAGGCGTATGCACTGACACAATGTGCATCGACCTTTCAATAATGATCCTTGATTCGCCCACTGATGAAAAAGAAGGAAGGCTTGGAACTTGCAAGGGTGTGGGCTTTGCTTGTGTCCTCTGTTTCGGACTGTGCTTTTGGGTTCAAACCATTTTGGCACAAGCGATAAATCTCAACATGCACAAAGCTTGGCTTTTCGCCACTTCATTCCGGGCTTTTCA